TTTTGGCTATTGTAAATAGTGCTGCGATGAACATGGGTGTGCATATATCTGTTCTTGTCATGGCTCTCACTTCTTTAGGATATACACCTAGTAATGGAATAGCTGGGTCAAATGCTATTTCTAGTTCCAACTTTTGAAGTAATCGCCATATTGCTTTCCACAATGGTTGTACCATTTTACAGGCAAGGACTGTGTCTTAATTGTTTTTCTGTCCCTAGCACCAAAACACTACCCTAGCACAGTGGCTAGCAAATAGCACAGGATTCCACAATATTATTTGTGGAAGTAATGAATTGAGCAAACTGTCATCTACCAGTTCATAACTTGATTGTTCATATATTCAGAACACTTTTCATTTTTTCTCTATAACTTGGCATACAGGTAAGAAAAATTCACAGACCCATCTTCAGAAAACCAGGCACCTTCAAATCACTATACCTGATTTACTTTCTTAACACTCTCTTAAGCTGAATATTACTCCCCCCCTATATTATAAAGATACAGAGATACAGAACGATTAAATGACTTCTCACAAAGCTAGTTACTGGCAGAACTACACCACAGTCAGGGGCGCGGACTTCACTGGGTGACACTGTCATAGTGGGCCACACCAAAATGACAGTCTATAAAACTTTTGTGCGGTGTTTCAGCAGAAATTTATTTTTTAGTAAAAATATCCCTGTAGTTATAAAAAAAAATATTTTTTTATAGCCTATATGTACCAATATACTTAAAAGGCTAAAACTCTATGCTAATTTACGTTTTGAACTTCTAATGTGCTTCAGTCAGAGCTGTCATTATTGCCCAAGAACAATGGCCCTGGAATCACGTGGTTTGCTATGTACGCACTATAAGCACAGGCTGTTGTTTTTGTTGTTGCTAGTGTTTCTGCAGTCACCGATTTTGTCAAATTTTCTGGTTTTAGCTATAATATGTATTTACCAATAATTTTTTTGAGAATGAAGTAGTAATTAAAGGAAAAGGAGGAGAAAATTTAAAAAAGGCTTCTGCTTAGTTACCAATAATGTTGTAACTTATAATGTTGTAACTCAATATAGAAAGATTTTACAAAATAATTTTGTTGTTAGTATTCACATAATCTAAAACATGCTATATTTAAGCAACGTACAGCCATATTTATCACATACTATTCTATGACTAAAATTGATAATAAACATTACTAAGGATTCTATATGGTCTGGTATCAGAGGAGGTCCATGGGGGGTGACATCATGAGTTACCACACTGGTTGACAACAACCCTAGTGATGCCATTGACCACAGTCTAACATTTCTGATATGAAGAGAATAAATTTTCCTCTAGAGATTAAAAAATGGGTTGAAAATAACCTCAAGCTACGGCTTGAATCAAGATCTAAGCCTGTACAGATATTTTAACCAAAATTTACTCTCTACTAAAATACACACACAGGTAAACCATATGTGGGAAAATGTACTATTTCTTCGCTGTATTACAAATGCAATTTCAAAAATTTATGAAAATAAATTCATACTTTACTTACCTGCCAGGGCACACTAATAACAATGAACATAAGACCAAGAAGCAATTAACATAACAAACAATAATATCTTAGGTTCTAAAGAAAAAACAATGTACAAACTCAGCTTTTCAAAAATGAAACTTTTCATACATTTTTAAATCTTTTGCAAGAGTTTGAAATTATTTTACTTCCCTAATTCCATGTCTGATCCAAGATACTGTTTTTATTTTAAACCAATGTTTCTAAACCACATTTCGGTTAAAATAGTTCTGAGCAACATATGTTTAATAGTTGCTTAACTGCAATTAATTAATTAGGAGCTCTGGTGGCATAGTGCCTAAGGCATCTGACTGCTAACCAGAAGGCCTGGCAGTTTAAACCCACCAGCCACTCCTCAGAAGGAAGACTACTTCCTTAGTGATACTGCCTCGGAAACCCAAGGAGGGGTTGCTGTGAGTCACTGATGGCAGTGAATTTTTTTTTTTTTAAAAAACTGCAATTAGTTCACTGAAAACTGTAAGACCATGATATTTAGAGAGCAGACAATAAAATTTTGTTCCTCCTTAAAATTATTCACTACAATCTATACTGTTTAAGGTACAACATCTTAACACTGGTGAACAGTCTTCATTGGACTACATACAAAATTCACAAATATTTATATACAGTTATAGCTAAGTTTTACTAATAGGCAGAATTACATAATGGATATATGTATGTATTTTTAAACTAGTAATTTCTATGACTTTCAACAGTTTTCAAATATATTTTATAGAAAAATAACTGAATGCTATAAACTAGAACTATAACTACATGGAGAACTAAAACTACAATTACTGTACCTTGGGAACGCTTTCTTTTAAGACCTGTCGCATCTGTACTCTCCTTATATCCTCTCCATTTGAACAGAGAAGGGAGGGAGAAGGGAGGGAGGTGGTAGACAACTAAGAGAGCAAAAACACTGAGCTTCAAAGTAAATTTTAAATGAGTTTGCCGTTTTGCCTTTTTTGTTGCAGTATTAACTTTAAAAAATGAGTTGTATTTGACAAACATTATTCTAAATGCATTATTTATATAATGTTTAATTAAAAACC